CTCTAGCCTCTTTGCAGGCAGTTCTGCTGAAGGGTTCTGTGCTGGGCCTGAAGCTTGGGTCAAATGAGGATCCACAGCCCGGGTCGTCTCACTCACTCGCTGGGCCTGCGCTTTGGGTCTGTTCAGAATCCCGCAGCCCAGGTCGTCTCACTCACTTGCCAGGCCTGCACTCCGGGTCTGTTCAGGATCCCACCGTCCTCGGTCATCTCACTCACTCGCTGGGCCTGTACTCTGGGTCTGTTCAGGACCCTGCCATCCTCAGTCATCTCCAGAGTTAGCACTTTAATGTCCACGTAATTTCTCTCCTTTTTTGATCCATGCTATAGTACACTCAGCCTTACTCTAGATTGTACTGTAGTAAAAAGTTTTATGTATGTGTGTCTTTGTTCTTCTGTGGAATTACTTCTGTGGAATTTATTTGTAGAGCATACAACAGTTGTCTCTGATGTAGAAGTGTTTTATTATTGTTCATACTTTTTTCTTTCCCAAAAGTTATACCACCTGTTTTTCTATTGATTTTTGTTGTTGATGTTGTTGCCCTCTAAGTAATATTAGGGGGATGGGATGAGGAGAAAAGATTAGTGATCACTTGAAAACATGGTGGTTTTCTTTCTTCTAAGCACAACCAGCTCCACAGCCAGCAGTTGTGATACCGAGTTCACTAAAGAAGATGAGCAAAGGCTGAAGGATTATATCCAGCAGCTCAAGAACGACAGGGCAGCAGTCAAGCTCACCATGCTGGAGCTGGAAAGCATCCACATAGACCCACTCAGCTACGATGTCAAGCCCCGGGGGGACAGCCAGAGGCTGGACCTGGAGAATGCCGTGCTGATGCAGGAGCTGATGGCCATGAAGGTGTGTTTGAGGGGTTCAGCGGGAGACCTGGCAGGCCTGAGTGCAGGGCTGGTAGATGAGAACGTGGCATGCAGGAGAGGTGGAGCCTCACTGTGGGCAGTGATGGTTTCAGCTTGTCTGGGAGTCCTTTTGGCTGGACATCCCTGGAGGGGAAGGAGGATGCCTCCAAGTGCTCAGCCCAGTGGTCCAGCATCTGGTCTCCAAGAGAAGCCAAGCCAGACTCCTGCAAGATAGAATAAGCCTGTGTCTATCCAAGGATGCCTCATCTCTGAACGCTGGGAAATAGTTTGATCACTAATACTGATATTCAAGGGGAGACCAGTATGCAGCTGCCCACTGAATTCGGCTGAAAGCCCTCAAGTCCTAATACCCTGGTGCTTACTTACTCCAGTGAAGGCTGCTGGGCTGCTCTAGCCAGTGGTCCTTATCGGGTCTTGGACTGCTCACCCACCACCTGTGTTGTTTGCCAGCATTCCTGGAGTAGATGGAGCTCTCTCGAAAAGGTGATGCTCCTCCTTGGCAAGCAGTTAGGTTTATCCTTTCAGTCCAGTGCACTGTACATCTCAGCACACCTATACCATAGGAGGGAGCCTGTTTGAGGCTGCTTCTGCAGATTCCAGTGTGGTGCCTGGATGGCGCTGTTGATGGGTTTGAGTTGGGAGCTAGGGGCCGTGTTTCCAGACCTGCTTTCTAAGCTTCCCTGACCTGTGCACGGTCCTGAAGTCCATCGTGTCCTGGTCTCCACGGATGCAGCCAGGGTTGCAGTGCTGCCAAGTTAGCAGCTCATCCTGTTTCTCCACCACTACATCCAGTACTGTCCTCAGAAAGATAAAGAGATACCCAGATCTGCAACCTGGCCTCTGTGGAGGGGTCAGGGCTGTCCTCAGCAGTCGTCCTGATGCGCACAGGTGACTGGAGTCCTTGGCTGCTGTAACTTGGGTCTGGGTGAAGCCTGGGAACTCTCTGGGCAGTGGTAGCACAGGTGAGAATCTCTCTCTGATCCCTGTTTCCAAGCTTGCTTATCTCCATCTACTCGCTCAGCTCATACCCCTCCTCCCTAGAGAATCTCACACCACCAGCTGATTGCTGCAGCTGCCCATAAGTGTAGCCTGGGTCTACAATTGCAGTGAATTTCTCCCCAGTCAGGACCCCACTGGGGGACCCATGTGCCCAGTGGCAGGAGGCATGAGGTTGCTCTTCCTTTATTGTAAATACCATGTTTCTTTTGGCCAAAGACTAAGGATTTCCTTGCTATGTACTGACCAGTCTGTCAGGTGACAAATTCTGTGTTATTTTGACCAGGAAAGGCACTTTTTACTGAATAAAAGCACTGTGTTCCTTCTGTCGTTTGAAAATTAACTGTGCACTCATTTTAGAAATGTTCTGAAACAGTAAAAACTATGAGTAGGTGGAAGGGAAAGAGCACCCGAGCTGGTTCTCAGGATCCAAGGCAGCCATTGCCTGAGTCTGGTGTATTGTCTTCTTGGAGACTGCAGAGTCGCAACACCCAGGCCTTCTCCTCTCCCCCAGTGTACTCACTGATGTGGGCTCACTAGAACCAGCCCATTGTCCAGCAGGTCCTGTTGGCCTTTACCACTTTGTTCTGCGATCTAACTACTGAGAAAGTCAAGTTTCTAGGTTTTCTATTTTGGGTACTTGATTTTTGCTAAGCATCTTTGCATTTCTAGATGACCTCCTTGGTCCCCTCTCAGAATCTACTCTTTGTTGAATTTCCTGTCCTTCCCTAGGGCTCTAATTCCCTTATCCCTGTAACTGTTCGAAATATTTGCCTTTTAGTTTTCCACATTGTGTTACTTCTGCTCCTAGAAGCCTTGGTTCACTTTCATCCCCTGTTGGGGCTGGAGAATGTGTGTACAGGGTCCTCTCCAGTGGAAACTGTTTCCATGGGTCCTTGTTATAGGTGTCTTTACAGAGTAGCATGGTACTAAGATCTTGAGTAAACCTGTGGATTTCAGAGGTCTATTACCAGTTTTTGGTACATTCTTCTGTTAGAATGCCTCCATCACATAGACATGTGATACAAGGTTTTGATTCTTCAAAAGGGATTTTTCAGTCTTTCTGGCTCAGAGCCTTCAATATGGCAAATTCCCTTAGACATCACCAGAAAGGGTATTTTCTGTTCTCTTATTCTAGGCAGCATACCCTGAGGGATTTCAGCGTAGCACTCTATTTCATAGATGCCACAGCACTGCCAGTGGACAGACAAGAACTGAGATCACAAGGTCTACAGACGACGCTTGTCTCTGCCCCCTTCTACGTCACTTTGCCAGTCTCCTCTGGCAGACTTGTCTTTCCGTTTCTGGCACCCATGGGTTTACCTTTCCTTCCTAACTTGCATTTATTTTCCTTCTGGGAGTGAGTGGCCACATAAGCTCAGCATGTAGTGGTGCCAGAACCTTTAGAATCCTGTGTCTGATGGCCAAAGGTGAGAAAGCCTCTTGGTATGAAAACATCTTTCATCCTGGTTTTTATATCTGCTCTTTAGGGGAAAAGTAGTTGCTTTGTTCTTCTGAGTAGTGCCCTAGCACAGTGACTAATGTCCTCTAGTGCAGAGGTGGACAAGCCTGATTGGTGCCTCCAGCTGTTGCCCACATTGGAGGGAATAAAGATTTTACCAGGAGAGCAGACCAGGCCTTATTATTATCCTCATAATCATTATCCTCATAAATAGCCAGAACCAGGGACTTTGATGAATCCATCTTAAGGTGATGACTAAGCTTTCTGCAGAGTCCTTGTAAGTAGGAGATCGAAGACCTTCCTGGGAGGTCAGCCTGGCAGTCACCCTCCTGCACAGGCCCATCTGGAGAAGGGCTGAGTGGTTACGAATCTGAACCTTAGACTAGATAGCCTGGGGTCACTTCGGCTCCACAACCTACCCAGCAGCCTTGGAAGGTAGATTTCCCTCTGCATACTCAGTGTCCAGTTCACAAGCGAAAATACTCATAATGCCTACCTTAGCTCATAAGAATTAAATGAGTTACTTCTTATGAACTGTTAATATAGTGATACATGCTCAACAAAGGTCGTTGGTTGCACTGTTCTGTGACTTGTGTGCCCCTGATTGTGTTGTACCATTTTAGGCTCACTTCTTATTCTCCCCAGAAAATATACATTTGAGTCCTTTCAGTTACTTTTAGAAGTTACCTAGCTGGGAAAATGGCTCAGTGATAGATAGCATGCAGGGCACGCACAGAGCCACAGGTTTTATCCCCTTCCTCGAAGTTGTCTGATGAAGTCTCCTATGAGGACTATGTTGTTATTGACTTCACTTGGGCCCTCACAAATGAACAAGAGCTAGAGGATGCTATTGCAGTAGGTATGGCCAGCCTACCTGGGTCAGCTGCAGGGAGATAAGGGTGCCATCAGGGTTGTTTCAAAGGTGCCTTGGATGCAGCTACAGCTATCTGAGTCTTGACAAAGGTGACAGAAACATATGTCGCCATCTCTGTGACAGATTGTTTTAGGAAAGGTATCCATAAATAGATAAAACCAGATCCTGGTTACTCACCTTGTATAAACGTCAATGAAAATGGATCAAGGAACTAAATGTAAGATCTGAACTTTGGAATTGCTAGAAGAAAACATCAGAGAAACATTTCACGATATAGGCACAGGTAGTGACTTCCCAAATAGAACTCTAAAAGCTTAGGAAATAACAGCAAGAACCAACAAAGGAGACTGCATCTTTTTAAAAAGCCCCAGCACAGCAAAAGAAACATTTAACAGAGTGAAGAGATAGCCTACAGAATGGGGAAAATCTTTGCCAGATAGTCTTCTGACAGAAAAATAACATCTAGTATATATAAAGAACTCAAAAAAAAAAAAAATTAACACAGAAAAGTAAGCCAATAAATGGTCAAGTCAGCTATATCTCCACATATGGCCAATAATTATGTAGAATGAGAAAAGTGTTCAGTGTACCTTAGCCATCAGGGAGCTATAGATCAAAACCATCTTGAGATTCTATCTCATGCCAGTAACAATGACTGTCATCAATAATACAAAAAACACTGCTGGTGAGGGTGCTGGAGAATAGGAATGCTTTTACACTGTACTAATGTGCATTCCCAGTGTACTAATGGGAGTGCACATTAGTACAGCCACTGTGGAAATCAGTATGGTGTTTCCTTAAAAAAAAAAAAAAAAAAAGACCTCAAAATAGAACTATCATTATTCAGCTATACTACCTGTGTTAGCTTTTCATCACTAGGGGAGGACAGAATTGCTGCTACCCACCATGTATGGAGGAGAGGGTTAATGGCACATGATTTTAGAGGTTTCTGTCCATGGTCACCTGCCCCAGGGTAGGAACATAATAACAGAAAGGTATGGTGGAATAGAGCCGCTCGTTTCATGGCAGCCATGAACAGAGCACAAGGGAGGAGTGCTAGTGGGATTGCTATTCCACAGGCTCCCCCTAGTGCCCTCTGACTGGGCCTGCCCTCCTACAGCACATTCTCCTGGGAACAGGAGCAGATGAGGCCATTGGTGAGTACAGTACCCCTTAGTCCAATCATCTTTCCAAGTGTCTCTCAGCTTAGTCAAGACAGTTAAGGTTAACTGGCACACTGTCCCTTGGTACATACCCAAAGGAATCCAAACCAGAGTAGTATGGAAAGAATGGTGTGCCTGTGTTTATTGTAACTCAGTTCCACACAGTATCCACATACTTACACTTGGGAGTGTTAGTAAGGAAGAGAAGTGAAACCTCATTGTTTACAGGGAAATAGGTGGAATTGCATATCAGCATGTTAAGCAAAAGAAGCCAGACTGAGACAAGAATCACGTCGTCTCTCTTTTATGGACTCTATGAGGAAAAAGATGACATGATAGTAGAGTGAGACTAAGAGGAAAGGAAGGAAAGGGGCCAGATGAAGACGTTAACGAGGTTACACAGCAAAATATGTTATGTCCATGTATGTGGAATACACCAAAAGTAAACCCATTATTCTGTATGATTAATATGCACTAATGAGAAAAACGTCACTTGGAGGTGTAGAAATTGAAGGGAAACTGGTAGGGACCAAGTTAGATCCAGACCTCTGTGCTCGGAGGGTCCTTTACAACCCTGGGGTGATACAACTCAGCCTCTACCTGCCAGAGGTCAAGTGTCCAGCAAGACAGATGTACCCACTTGTGGTCCTAACAATTGTTAGAAAGGCTTTGTTTAAACCAGACCAAACTGATTGTCTGTGAATTCTACCCATTGATCTCAGTTCTATTCTGAGAGAAAAAAAGCACATTGATTTGTACACACATCTGTGTTTCATATGTGTGGGGGCAGCTACCATCTCCTCACTGTTATTCCTGACTTTAGAGTGATGCCTTGTCCCTGGACCATAGAGTGTATCCAAGACCATCTGTGGTCCCTCCACCCCCCAGGACATGGCCCAGCTGTGCCGGCCCACTGTGGTGCTCATGCGCTGTGTGCATTTTGCCTTGCAGGAGGAGATGGCAGAGCTGAAGGCGCAGCTGTACCTCCTGGAGAAAGAGAAGAAGGCCCTGGAGCTGAAGCTGAGCACGCGGGAGGCGCAGGAACAGGCCTACCTAGTGCACATTGAGCATCTCAAGTCCGAGGTGGAGGAGCAGAAGGAGCAGCAGATGCGATCCCTGAGCTCCACCAGCAGTGGCAGCAAAGACAAACCTGGAAAGGTAGGGCAGGGCAGCATGGAAAGCCACACTTACCACTGACCACACCACACCACTTCGCTGCCTCAGTTTCCTTATCTGCATAGGTCATTCCTAGATATCTAATGTGGTACTTGAGTGTAAAGAAACCAAATCTTACTTTACACAATACGTAAAATTTTCCCCAGCACCAGTCATCTGTGTAGTTGTTCACTGCACCGGTCACCTCTTCTGATCTACTCCTTTCACCCAGTGTTGGTTTCTTGGTACTTTGATTTTTTTTTATCTGTCTCGCTTAAGCCACCCATCTATGAGAGAAGAATATTTAAGTCCTCAAGAAAGGAATATTTACATCTGTCTACAGGAGGAAAATGAGACCCCAGAGAGGTGCAGGCCTCCCAGCTTTTAAGAATGCAGCTCCTCGGGCTTGCGCCCACCTCCCGCTGGGCTCTCAGGCTCGCTTCCCCTGCCTGCTCTGCTGCTGCTCTCCTGCTGGCTTTCAGCCTCAGAGCTGTCAGCAGGGGCAGCTGAAGGCTGCAGAGCGAGGCAGGCTCGGATTACCAAGCAGATGTCCTTGCCCAGTGGGTGGCTGACATCATTTAACAAATTCAGGGTCCCATCAACTCCTAGGTCTTTTTTCTAGAATCCAAGCTTATTCTGTCATTTTATCTTTCTCTTCCAAATACCGTATTAGAAGACAGAAAGCTCTGAACTCTGAAGAATTACACCCTTCATCCTGGGTTACTATGTATTGTGTATCCATATTTTCTCCTCCATGTAGTGCCAGCTTCTCCTGACCTCACTAAGTTTCAGATTGAGAACTTGTGGGCGTGTGCTGGATTGCTGGCCTCCTACATGGCTGCTTGAGGCCCATGTACAGGGAAGTGTCCAGGAGAGCTGTGTGCAAGGGAAAGAAGGATCAGTGCTGGTGTTGTGTGCTGGGAACTGTTGTTCTCTAAATAGCTAAGAATTCTGAAGCAATCTTCACAAATGGGTGCAGCTACATCTTTCCCACCTCTGTCCTCCTGAGGTGCCTGGGAAGGATGAAGCCATTGCTCCCAGGCAGCCAGCTGTCCAAGGGCCACTGTCTTCCGTGTACCTGTTCAGTTGAGTGTGCTGGCACTCACAGCAAGCCAGGACCCACCGCTCTACGGGAGACAAAGACTGTCCTCTGAATTGACTTTCTACATGGGAGGTATGGCAGACACGATCACAACACAGTGATGGAGTGTCCCAAGCATCAGGATCCACTTGTAGTGTCATGGTGGGTTCCAGACCAAACACAGAGTCCTGATTAGAGATTCAGGACAGGTTTTCTGGAAGAAATAGGCTTGTAAGCTGACCCAGAGGAGAAGGGAGCCAGCCTATTGAAGGTGGAATAGAGGCCTGGGGCAGAGGAGGCACACTAGCATGAGCTAAAGGGATAGCTCATGCCAAGACCCAAGGGCAGGAGAGTACCACACACTGCCTAGAGGGGTCAGCAAGGAGTCACAAAGGGTTGTCATCAGGGAGCAAATGTGATACAGTTTGGCTTTGGAAGTGACTATGGCCAGTATACCAGTGCCTGGGAATCACCTGGGGTGGGGACAGCAGCCCTCCTGGGGCTGTATCATATGGTGGGGTTGGAGCTCAGAAAGAAGGCATTTTCCCTTCTATAGAAACACTTTCGAAGCATCTACCGCCTTTGGAGTTTGTTACTAGTCAGTTTGCCACAGAGCCTGCAAGGCAGAGCACTAGTGTCTCTGTGTGTGTTCTTTGGGTGTGGTGGAAATGGCCTGCCAGGTTCTTGCCAGAGGCCCCAGAATTGAACATTTTCTCCCAATTCTTGGTGTTTATTAGACTGAGGGAAGCACTGTTTTATGCATTGGCTTCAAAGTACAGAAACTTACCTGACAGAAAAGGCCAGATGATTTTTTTTTTTTTTTTTTTTACCTTTTCGGAACCAGGGATTGAACTCAGGCCCTTGCACTTGCCAGGAAGTGCTTATTGTACTGAGCCATCTCCCCAGCCTAGGTGATTTTTTAACATTACAGTAAAAAGCTTTTTAAAAGTACCTACTGCTGGTGCCGAGGAGATGGCTTAGTAGAATAAGCGCTTCCCTGGCAAGTGCAAGGGCCTGAATTCAATCCCCAGTCCAGCCAAAAAAAAAAAAAAGTACATCCTGCTGTTTAAGTTATGAAATTAAATTAGAATAAGCTGATTTTCATGTCTTTCAAATATTCGATCTGTTTACTGTTTCAATAAGATCCTAGCTATTTGTTAGGTTTTGTGTGTGTTGTTTGTTTAAGACAAACTCGCTGTGTAGTTCGGGCTGGTCTTGAACTCACTAGTCAGCACATGCTGACTTGAACTCACAGAGATCCTCCTGTCTCAGCCTCTGAAGTGCTGAGATTACAGGCTTGCATGACCACCCTGGCCCGGTGGTTTTTTGTTACTGTGATTGTTATTGTTAGACATGGGGCAGATGATCTAGAGCAGGGATCAGCAAACTTCTGGAGCAGACCAAAGTAGATATTGTAGGATTTGCAGGCTGTCCAAGCTGCTGCATCCCCTTGCTTCTGCCCAGGTAGCTGTGTGGTGCAAACCAGAGACCACAGGGCAGCCCATGGGGGTGGCTGTCTTTGAACAACTTATTGATGGGACACTGAAGTTTGAATTTCATGCAGTTTTTACCAGTTAGAAAATATTCCTCTTTTGACTTGTTAAAACAGAAAAATCGTTCTTGGCCTGTGAGCCATATATGAACAGGTGAAGGGACCCTATGACTCTAGAACATGGGTGAGTATTTCTGCTTGCCTTAAAAGCTTTTCTCCTGCCAACACAGCTGGTCCTCAATCCTGCCTAAGTTTCACTAGGTTTTTGCAGTTGTCAAACTGTATGCAAAGACATCATTGTGCATGTTCAGCAGGAGGCCCCATGTGGGAGACGCAGCAGGTCCAACTGCTGTGGGTCTTAGGCCATGTCCACATCAGTGCAGTTGACATGTGAGAAGGGACAGAGTGGCAGAATCCCCACCAGCTTTGTGGGTGGTGTGGGGTCTGTGAGGACGCCTAGATGGAGAGCAGGAGGGCAGTGCAGGGTGGAGCCTGGGCAGAGAGCACAGAGTCTCAGCATCCACCCTGTGCTGTCAGGACTGCCTGGGAAGGTGACATTTCTTATGAGAGTGGGCTGAGGAAGACTGTGACTCCTGTCACTGAGGCTTGTAGCACTGGGTTCATCCAACCATGATAGGATTTTCTGTTTGTGTGTCTTCTGCAGCAGATCATAGATTTTTATTCTGGGGCATAGGAAATGGTAGCGTGCCAAGGTTCCGATGTATGGGGTGGAGGTACACATCCATTTGCCTCCTCCTCCTCTCAGTTTTCTCAGTTACACAGAACCCAAGAAAGCTCTCAGATGTAGAGAAAATGTGCTTTCTTGGGGAGTAAGATGGGGCAACAGGACATTCCTGTGAATTTCCCTATAGAAGAACCAGGCAGCCTGGTTTTGAGTCCTGGTTCCCCATTTTCTCTGGTGACTGAGAAGT